AACCACTGTAAGCGGTGGTTTCGTTTTGACGGCTTGTGGCGGAAAGAGTTCATATGAGAGCGATACACCAGCAGTTCGCGTTTCTAGAACATCGAAGTGGAAGTGCTTGACAGTGTGTGTATGTGATACTGTATGTTTTTTGTTGCTGATACACAGCACAAAAGACATAAAAATGGAGAAAAAAGAAAAATTTCTGAAAACCTTTATTATCGAAGGGCGGCGACTGGCGATCATCATCCGGCAGTTCGTTGTAATCCTTAACGGAACCGTGGATCACTGCTATGCCCACCCTGCAAATCAACCTATACGTGTTGCAGATCCGAGCAAACCAACCGCGAAATCGGGATTTATACCGGAATTTCCAAAAAATAACCTGAGTCGATCGGCATAGCTTGCTGCTTTATGCATAACTTTGGGACTTTTCGCAACAACCACAGCATTTCTGTAGTCCGGAATATTGCGGAATATGTAGTGCAAAAGGAATGGCGACGAGCGGAGATTCTCCACTGGAACCCCGAAAAATCCTTGAATCTCTTTCCTGAAAAAAAAAACGAATAAGTTTGGTCACGATTATGAAAACTCGAAGTTTGTGCAAAAAGAAAAGCATACCTGTACAGATCAAGAGAAACAACTCGAGTGGCTCCGGCTTTGCATATCATATCCGCTACTAATTTCATCGGAATTGCCGATCTGTAATTTGCACATGTAACTGAGCAAAAAAAATGTCCCTTTCATGATAGATTTAACCTCACTTTTACACCCGAGATCAACCTGGACGCTACAATCGGCTTAACAGTTTAACCTCCGTTCCTGTCCCATAATTCATCCCTCCATACATCTTCAGCAAACTGGTTCCAGCACAAGGTAAGAAATCAAGAAATCATTTTTGCCCCCAAATCAGTAAGAAATCATTTTTGAATTTTCCGTAGTAGATGTTTGTACATGTCGTATTGGAAATGCTCGTCCAAAAAAAAAAACGCTTGCTAAGGAACTAGTAAAAAAGGACCGCAAACTTCCGCCAGGAGCAACCTAGCAGCATTGCTAAAAGGGGGATACCCACATTGATAGCCCAAGCGGCCTTCATATTCTTGGTACATAAAACAGGCAGTCTACCGGCCAGCTCGCCCGGTAAGCCAATGGATGCTATAGCCTCAAAAAAGCACGGAAATAAACAATGTATAAGGAAAGTTTTTCTGGAAAAATTTGCAAAAAGTGCACTAAACTGAAAACAAAAGCCACCTCCTGGATGTTCGGCACTGCATCGAGTACGGCAAAAACGGCATAACAACGGTGATCGTTTTCGCATCAGCGGTTCGACAAGTATACGCCAGAATTAGGACCTCCCAGATATCGTTGTTGACATCTGTATACTCAATGCATTAGGAATTTATAAAATTATGCAAGACAAATTCACAAGGGTTGAAGATTATTGAGAAAAATAGATTTCCAGAAGTCAACTTTACAAAAGATTCCACACATTCCGAAAAAAATCGAAAATTGTTTTGAGAAGCGCAAAAAATCAACGGTACTAACTCTTCCTAGTTAATAACTAACTGTATACTAATTAACAACAATAAATAATTCCTCCAGCCGGTAAGGCACCTTATCGTGGCCTTGGGATGGACGCGTTCTTGGTAACGAGCGATACCACTTAAACATCAAAAGACACATCAAAACAGTTCAAGCCTAGTCAAGTGCTTCTGTCAAGAAAACCGTCAGATCGATAATCTCTTAAGAAGACAAAACGACCGTCAGGATCACCAGCAGGTCGACTAATGGACGAACCAGCACTGGTCAAAGCAAATGGAAAAGTAGTCACCTGCATACTTGAAGAATTACACTATAAAGTATAGAGGTGATCCAAGTATTTCAAGGAAGAACTATTTGTTCCAGCTGTACTCGATACGATAACATACCTTTGGATGCGGTCTGCAGGATAAAAACATTTTTCGCGCGTACACTTTGTCGAATTTCCACTTCCGTTTCCCTGCATTATTTATAAATAAGAAAAATTCCCGATGATTCAGGAATAACAACAGACTGACCACATTTTTTGCATTTAACCGAGTCATAATAAAACTTTGCGAATTATTTAAATCCGCACTTATTCTCACATCTAGGAGAGCTTCCTGGGGATGGGGGAGTGAGGCTTGTGGCCTAGCGACAACCAGGAGGGGAGAGGAAAGCGGAGCTCCAAGGGAGATGGGGGAGGGGGGAGGAGGAGGGTGCGGAAGAAAGTTTTCTTTAGTTTTAACTTTAGACCCGGACTTTTGTAGTACTGATGCCTGTGCCGCTGGGGGAGGGCGCCTCCTCTCTCGGATCCGCCTATGCCTGTTCTGGTTGCGACTCTGCCGGTGAAGCAACCAATTCCTGTGGAACTCGTCCATTCGCTTCTGTGGTAAATTCATAATGGCAAACGTCAGAGAATCGAAATTGCCATCAGTTTGCTTCTAAGCAACTCTCAACAGAGGAAACCATCGACAGCTTCGCCAGCGGGTTACTGCTGCAAGCATCTACCACAACTGGGCTAGTTTCGAGTATTTCTTCTTAAGAGAGAGAATGAATGCTCCCTTAGAAGAAGCAGAAGGAAGGGCAGAGAAGAAGAGGGCGAAAAAGAAGAGTTTATTTCTCCCACTGCAAAACGAAAATTGATTCAGAAAAATTCTGCTACAAATTAAATGCGGGAAAACTTACCGGCAAGGCTTGTTGTAACAAACAGCATCTGCCAAAGGTATTTGCAGGTGATCCGCAACCAATTTTGCCAACTGCGGATGCGAATTACCTGTGATCAACACCATTTCGCTAGTCTCATCCGATGCCACTGATCCAGACATTCTTGTAAAGGCTAAAATTTAAATACTTTCGTCTCCGTTGTTTTTTCAAATGAGCAGCAAAATGAGGAACAGGCGCAAGAACACACACAAAAGGAACTGTTCAAAGAAACATACACATATACATGCTTACAATTACAAGCATACATACATGCATGCATCAAAAAAATCAATTTCTCCGAATCCTGGTGAACAAGGAATGCTCTACCGATGCCCAAACAATCACTAATTCCGTAGCTGAGGCTCTTTTTAACACTATAATATTACTAGCGGAATAACCAAAGATGAAGCATTTTTATGGCTCCTCCTTTTATTCTAGTTCTACCGCTTTTCACAAATTTTCTTACAGTTTCAAATTTCCAAAATTCCGAGAATTTTTCACAGTTCTGATCAAATTTTTTTCTAAACTCTCACAGCTCAAATTTTTCAAAATTTTGTCCGAAAAACGCCAACTGAAGAAGCAAAATTTCTACAAAACATCTAAGACATGCAACTTACTTTTGAAACCTATTGAAGTACATAAATTTCCTTATACAACGAACTTGCCCTCCCCTTTCCTCTTTTATCAACTGAAAAAAAGACCTAGAATTCGTTCCACTGACGTGTCAAGACAACTTTATTAGCCTATTTTCCATCAAAAAAAAAAAAATGAAAAGAGGAAGTGAATGAACGAATAAAGCCAACCAGGTCCCTGCCACTGTGAAAAGCAACGTTCTCCAATTCAAACAAATGCAAAACGTAATAACAACAACGATATGTGAAACACGTGATATATGTGGTAGGAAGCGAAGGAGCTCGCAACCCGTCAAGACGATGACAACAAGACGAGGCAGTGAGGGGAGGAGGAGGGATGTTTACAGAGATCATTAACATTTATTATTGACAAAACTACTTCTGAGACCAACAACGAACGAACGAACAAATAACTGAGAAAACAACGGCCAAAAAACGCTCGCTTGCCATAACAAATAAAAACCGTATTTGTTTTAAACTACAATTTCGCGCACTACGCGCTTAAATTTTGCGCTTATGTTTCTTATCTGTGCATTGAAATCTTGATTCAGACACATAAAGGTTGATTATAGCTAACAAAAAGCAAATCACAAAAACAACGATATGTATAACATGCATGGTACTTACATCCAAAACAAGTATTTCTGAAAAAATGCAGAATCCAGAGCATTGCACACGTCGTTCTGGTAAATACAGTGCCAAAATAATAAAAGAGTGATGAGCAGACATTGGCGAATTCAGGAGGGGGAAGGCGGGGAAGGGGGGAGAATGGGTCCCTGGGAACCCCCCCCCCCTTCAAGTAGCAGTGGTAAGAGTGGAGGGAACTGTCTTCGACATCATTTATCGCCTCCCTCCTCCCTCCTCCCCCCTCCCCGCCATCCCAGGAGCCCAACTTTCTTTCCCTCTTT